AGGCTCAAGACAGATGCCCCCAACCAAGATGACATGAATACTCCAACCACGAAAATGAAAGTTATGGACGTAACAAATCCGAGACCTGGCAGCGCAGCACACATGAGGTAAGTTACTACTAATTTAGCATTAGTGAACACCTTCGACCAAATCCTACTCTGTGCACAACCATGCTGATCAATAAACATGGAACAAAAGGAACACCAAACATCTCAACTATATAGCACAAGAATACGAAGTCCTTATTAGAGTTTCAGAGAGAATCTTGTTAGCCCAACAACAGGATTAATCGATACCTTTAACTTTTCAGTTACTAGAAGTGGCTAATATTAGAATGATATGGAACTCCATAGAAACAACCAATCCAGTGTATATAAGCACGGAACAATGATTTCAGTAATCAGCTCCCATATGTCGTCTTTCATTATAAGACGCCAAAAGCCATGGGATATTGACCCATTCGAACTATGGTGTATACACAAAACTTTAAGTGTCAATGTTCAGAGGAAGTTCCTCAAAACTTCAAGTTTTTCCAAAGAGTACAAGTATACTAATGTTGACCAAAGTACTCACCAAATATATCGATTCCAAGTTGAGCATAGATTGGAGAGAAAAATCCATCCACAAAGTGAATAAACCACCATGTTACATAGAAAGTAATAGCAATTGGGAAGAGGATAACACTGCAAAATAGCCAAGAATGAGAATCAGACCAATGAAGCTTCCAACAATTCAAAGTATCAAATAAAAAATGTATTGCTGACGGACAGAAGAGCCGAGGAAGTGCAAAACAACAAATAATAAAGAATATCAAGAATCAACACAGAAACAGAGTTCTCGCCGAAACAGAAATAGAAGATGCTTAATCAAAAAGTTCTTTTGAATGAAAATGCCTTGCCCATCACCATAAAACAAAGGATCACTTCAAATCCTAAACACAAAAGCATGAGAATCAATTATATGCTCTAAAATGAAAGTTTTAGAAGCAATATCTGGTGATTCAACTAACTTATGTTTGAACTGTTGATAGAAACATGAAGATGATATAACTGACCTAGGAATTTATTCCATTCTTTAAAATGAATGTCATTACTTTATGTATTCATTCAATATGACTAGGGACAAATAGTAATGTGGAGGTTTGTAATGATTTAAAAGAACATGGGAATTTGTCAAAGAGAACTCAAGAAGCCAACGATAAGGCACCACAAGAAAAAAGAAGCCAAAACTGATTCAGGAAGCTCGAACAGTCAGGATCCAGATTTTATTTAAAGCTCACTTGATATCAAGAGTTCAAATATGTTAGCGCAAGTGAGCCAGAAATAATCATTCTTCCAAAACCAGGAAAAAGAAGAAGGCATACCATCCGGTCATGAACTTTTTTGAAGCCCAGCTCCGAATAACTTTGGAGAATGTCTGCATAGGAAAAAATTACAAACACAGATTAGCAACAAGCTTACAAACACAACCTTGGATAAATGAGGAGAAGCAGTGAAACCTAAACAACGCAATGTAGTTTCAAACTCCAGAAGAAACTTAGTTAGCCATTCTTGAGCTAATATGAAAGTCTCAAACCTGACGAAGACTCATTGCACTATAATTCAGCCAACTATACGGTAACCTATGCTCAGGTAGCAATTATACTTGGAACATATAAAGTACTTGGAAACAAGCTCCCAAGGCATCCATACAAGCGAAGATTATTTCTGCACTTGGAAGTATCAAACGCCAACCTATCCAATTCAATCAGAACAAACTCTGCTGAAAATTCCCAAGCTCCCTGCCTCCAATGAGCCTCAAAATAGGCTGAAGAGAGCCCTCAACGACAACAGGTGTCAGAAATTATCCTGGAATCAAGTAAATTTGGTCGGAGGAAGCAATCCCTCTATTTTTCAAGAACAACCCAATTCCTAGATCTAGCAGTTTCCCCAGACCCAGAAAACAAAACTCGAAATTGAACAGGCAAGTACAGCTCAAACCCAATCAAACTTCACCAAGTAAGAAAAGCCACCAAGCCAGAAGCAAATCAGTACCGAACCAGAATCCAATTCTCCAAATTCAAACACGTAAAAATGCAAAAAGGGTTTGAACTTAATTAACCTCGCGACCGGAGTGATGATGCGAGGAAGAAGAAGAGGAAGGTTTAGAGTCGTCATGGCTACCGCCGCCACCGCCGGATTCAGCAACGTGGATGAGAAGCTCTCGATCTGCCTCTCTGTCCGGCTCCCGGCTGGTCATCACGATCGCCGATTTCTCATCCCCCATCACTCCGAACCTCACCCTACGAAGCAAACTCCGCCGCTGTCTCCGGCTCTATTCCCACCAATAAATATTCTTAAAAAAAAACCCAAAATCCCCTGAGGAAAGAAGGATAGATTACAGCAAGGAAAAAGTCCCTCCTCCGCCAATGAAGAGAAGAAGAAGAGACGATTCCCTCAGACTTAGCTCCGTCCCAAGCAAAGGGGGGAAAGGGCTTTGTTTTCAATTCGTAAACAATAATAATCAGAATAATCAGTCGAGGAAGATGAGTTGCCGATTTCGATATTTCAAATTGCTTTCTTATTAAGTAATAATTAGTTAACAAACTCAATAAATAAATTCTGCTAATCATATCGGGGAAGAAAAAATAAAATAAATTAAAACAGAAATTCGGTGGAAGGGGATGAGTTCGAGGAAATTTGTCTCCTTTATTTTAAACAGTTCAACAGCAATTAGCTACTGTTTCTAAGATGCTACAGAATATATTGAATCGAAAAAACTATAATTTTTTGCTAAATCGGCTATAGAGGGCAACAAAACAACGAATGAGTAGGAAATAAACTAATTATGAATTATTAGTTTCTCTATCTTTCTACTTTGTACCATAAGTTGTTAGTTTTCCACCCGAAATAATGAACCGGTAAATCACTCATATCGCACTAGTGTTTTCGATTGAACACACCTATCATTAACAATCGTCTGATCCACTAACAATCGTCCAAACAGACAAACCGACGACCTGTTACAACAATCGGTTGATGGTTTTACTGGTCTAGCCCGGGAATCCGGTGTGGTGTATAAGATTAGGCACAAACATATAATTGTGTGGCAATGGAGGATGTGATGAGGAGAGTAGTTAACTGGTTATGGCTTTGATTAGCTGTTTGCACATGTGTAAGACTTTAGGGTAGGAGAGGGTTTGACAGGTTGTTGCCAAACAGGGCACAACTGTTTGCAGTGGAAACTAAATCTATAAACTACTCGAGATTTCAGCTAACTTTTAGCCCTTAATCTTCATTTAAGTGGGGGGAAATGAGCAGATTTCATGGCTGATAAAAAAAAATCCATAACTATAAAGAACCCATATTAACAAAATAATTATTGGCAATTGATCATGAGAACCAATGAATCCACGAGATTTAACGTGATTCAGTCGATATAAGTTTAGATCAACAGAGGGTTGTTAGTTTCTGATCATCAATCGTATAATTTCTACAATGCAACTATCCCTTTTCTCGAAACCTTATAGTTTGTATACATTGATGTTTGCAACGTAAATAACTCCTCTTATGGACCGAAGAAGAACGAAATTGAAAGGCGAAACCTGCACAGTGAAGGAATCAAGGAGTTGGTGATTGGTGGAAACATACGAACATGAAATCGTTTGGCTCGAATGATATGACATGCAAAGTGATAATCACGAATCAAATGTTTTGTGCGAGAGCGAGAAGACACGTGATCCGAGAGCAGCGACAAGGTTGTTAGAGCAGAGTGTGTTAGTGGGTGGGTGGGTGGCGGGTGAAAGAGGATGATGAATCCCAGCGAGACCATCCCGAATACCATAAGCGGTGATGCAATATCCGACTTCAATACTAAAAATAGGTGATGACACGTTGCTCCTAAAAATAGATGATGAACCTCAGCCCCACGTGCCGCTAGAGCGACAGCGGGGCCTACTAAACCACTGGAGGTACCTGCATACTAATCGGGGCTTTCTGCTACCAACATCGGGGAGGCTTCGCCTCCGATACCAAGGGTGCCGCCGGGAACGCTCAAGTGGCGCCACTGGGAATTGAACTCAAGACCTCTCACATCCAGAGCTCAATTGGTCCAGTGGTTTCACCACTAGGCTATATTACCTTTGGCCAATGTGTAAAATTGACAAGTAAGTAAATGTTACATTATTTTTAATCAATTCCTGTCAATTTAGTTAGGTAAATTGTTAACCGTAGATATTGCATTTGTCATCCAAATATAACAATTCTGTGTTGTAGGCTTGTAGCCATCATTTGGAAAGGCTGATTTAAATTTTAAAATAGCAAATAAGTGCCAAAATTTCGTACCAATATCACCCATCTGAAAAGCCATTGAAGAAGATCAAAACCGTGTTATTGGGCCAGATGCATGGACTCGTTCAACAAAACTGAAAGGTCGACGTCAAATCCTGGTCAACGTCGACAACTGATATGTTTGGCCCAACACCTAATGTCCGTCTCCGTCCAATCCATTCTGCATAAGGAAACAAACAAACAAACAAAACGACCCTACAGCTGAAGGTCACCGACCTTAACCATAAGGCCATAACCGACCGCTGTTCATGTCCAAGCCTTTCTTGCTTTAACCATAAGGCCATAACCCTACCGCTAGGTGCCTTGGAGAACTAGACATTGATCGTAACGATTGATTGTTTCGTTCTTTAATCATAACGTTGTGGCTCGATCACAATTTCCAGAACGAAATTCACTTCGTGGTTCGTCGTTTTACAGGACGAATTGACTCAACCAGAGTACACGTTCAAAACAGGTAGACCAGACGAAACCAGAGAAAATGGGCACCAAGCTTTGAATTTTGATCCTGTCAAACCATGAGGGGAAATGGGAACACTTAGCGATATTTGATTGATTGGAAACTTCCATTTTTTGTGACTTAGAACTAACAAACAAAAACCAGAACCAAAAAGGCAGGCAGCCAAAGTTCTCAATTCATGTACGCAATGTCCCCAGCCAAACTAAACTCTTATTCATATGAACCCACCAGAAGAACAACAACAAGACCACAGAACTTTCCCTCCATTTCCTACACACACACGCCAGCAGAATCTTTCTCATTCCGAAAACGGGTTGCTGCTTCGTTAACAACATTAGTTGAAGAAGGAGGCTAGGAAAAAAAAAATGCTGGAAGGGAAGGCCATCGTGAAGGAAACAGACATGCCAGAGAGCATGCAGATCAAAGCCATGGCTTCTGCTTCAGAAGCGCTCGACACATTCGACGTGCTCGACTGCAGATCCCTGGCTGCTCACATCAAGAAGGTAAACCCTAGAACTGTTTTTCTCATCTACGGGGGTGGAGATATATGATTCATGGGTTATTGACTTATTTCCATTTTAAGCTGTTAAAATCACTCTGCTGCATTATGTGGGATGGCAGGAATTTGACAGAGCTTATGGAGGAGGATGGCAGTGCGTGGTGGGTTCGAGTTTCGGTTGTTTCTTCACTCACAAGCAAGGGACTTTCATCTACTTTGCTTTGGGATCCCTCAACTTCCTTCTCTTCAAGGCTACCCCTCCCACTTGAATTGACTATTTATCACAATTCAGTAGTTCATCACATGTAATTTTGCAGCTGTGAGTTAGAATGCATGCAGAACAAGATCTGTTGGAGTAGTTATAGATTTCCCTTTGATAAGTTTTTTTTTCAAGTTAGCTTGTGTGTATCAATTTGATTGCTATAAATGTCAACTATTTACAAAGAAGACAGAAAATTGAAATGCTTAGCAGCCCTCTAAATGAACCTTCCTACCTCTCTCTTACTATCTCTATACATACTTGAGCAACAATCAAAGGGAAATAACTCTAGAAACCTGAGAAAGCTAAGTAGTGAATACCTCATCAATCAACTGATCTAGGATCAACGTCTCTAAATCGATCACAGCGTGTTCAGCTTCTTCCATGGAGAATCCATTCCTCCAACCCAATTCCCACACACCACTCACAACTCCTATACTCTTCACATCCTTCTCCAGTATTGAATTCACACTATCAGTAGCTTGCCTGGGTTGCCTTCCAGAACCCAGAACACGATAATTGTTACTGTACCCCTGGAGTGTCTCGACGCCATTGCAGACTTCTTCTACAAGCTGGTCTAAAGAAACATGCTTTCTCAATGCTCCTCCTGCACAAGAAGTAAGAAGAAGCAAACCATCTCTTCTTGCTTGTGAATCCGGATCGCTTTTGCATTTGATGAGTTCATTTGCATAGTCTAGTGACAGTTTCTCGTCGAGTGGATCGAATGTAGTTGATGTTGATAGTATGGTGTTTGGAGAAGGGACAGTAGTGAGAGGAAAGAGCTCCTCTACACGAGTGAGAAACTCTTGGCTGCTTAAAAGGAAGGTCTTGAAATGGATTCTGGCTTTGGATTCAGCAGACTCAACATTCTCTCTGGAATCTGAGGTCTCCAAAGGGACAATTTTCTGAGGACTGTGGCTTTCTGTACAATGTTCTACTGAAACAGTAAACAAGAAAGAAAGGAAAATGTTAACGAGAAAGCCCTCTACATCATGCTGTGTCAATTAAAAGCAAACAAGCTGTAGCAAGTGTACTATTTTACCTTCAAGTGGAATTTCAGATGAACTTGTTTCTTCTCCTCCTCTACATATCTGCTCTACTGTTGCATTAAAGGAACTACTTTCTTCCTCAACAGGGCGAATTTCACCTACTAGCTCGAGCTCGTTACAGTCTTCTTTATGTTCTTGCAAATCTGTGCTCTGTTTCAAAAATCAAACAACATTAAGTTACACCACAATTCAACCTGATGTACCAAAGAGTGAAGCGAATGTTACAAAGAATTATAAAGTAAGGAAGACTCACCTCTTGTGTTACTTCTGTAACCTCATCTACCATCTTCTTCTCCATCTTCTTGCCTTTGGCATTATCACGGGTCGCATTCTGCTGCTGAGAACTCTGACTCCTGGAACCAATTCCACCAACTTCAGAACTCCTCATCTTTCTAGAGGTTGGAACCTTACCCTTATCCTGAGTTCTTACTCCATTTCTGACCTTAACAGTCTCCTTTGCCACTGGTGCTTCTTCATTGCTAGCCACCACCTTCTGAATCTTAACCACTTTCTTATCTACAATCTCCTTCTTTTCCTCTTGCTTCACTGGTCTCCCAGCTCTAATCTTACCATTATTACTCTTATTACCCTCTTTCACTCTTGGAACTGAATCCTTTTGTTCCTTACTACCTCCATTTCCGGGGCTAATCGATCTCCTTTCAGCTTCTTCTGCACGCAGCTTTCTTTCCATCATCATCCTGTTCTTCCCATTCACAATTCTTTTCACTTCTTCCTGATCAATCCTCTGACTCCTTCCACCATTGTCTTCTTTGACTCTCACTTTCCTCGCGTGCAAATTTGAGCTAACAACCTCCCCTTCTTCATAAACCATTGGCTGCTGAAATGGTTTTTCTGATTCAGGCACATGGAAAGGCTTAATAAGCACAATAGGTGGCGTGCTGCCAATATCAGACAACAGCTGCTGATGATTGGATTGAGAATGAGCCTTGAAGTCCTCTTCCTTCTTCGCGGAACTTCCCTTTAGAAGAAGCCCTCTGAATTCCATTGTGTCAAGCAGCTCTTTCAGGCTCCTTTGCTGCTGCTGCTGCTGCCGATGTGCCTCATGAACAGCTGCAGCTGCCTTCACCAGCAAGGCATCGTGCTGTTGTTGTTGTTGTTGCTTCCTCAACTTTGGCATCTCAATGTCCACCCGCTTCTGTGGGATTCGAGTAGGCGATCCAGGAGGATGGATCTCTTCCAATCCCATCAATCTAGCTATCAAGTTGGAACTCCTTTCCTTCTTCGCTACCTTTGACGATTCAGTTGGATGAACTACAATAGCCTTGGAATATTGAGCCACCATGGAACCAACCCCTATTCTCCTTCTCTCAAGCCAAGCCCTTTCATCATCTGACAGCAAATTCTGTCTAGCAAAGCTGTCTGTTATTGCACTCCTAAGCTCATCAATGTAATCCCCCGACGAAGAAGCTCCATCATAAGAATGCCGTGGCTTCTGATAATCACCAAAACCACCACCACCACCACCACCTTCTCTACAAGAACTCACCCTCCTCATCAAAGGAAATTCAGCATCGGTTCTAACCAGATCAGGACTCTCCTTCTGCTGCTGTTTCTTCTTCAACTTGGCCATGTACTTTGAAGCCTCTTGCAACTTTCCAAGCATAACCAGTGACTCCTTCAGATCAAGAGCTCCTTTCAGCAAATCCTTAGCCATCTTCTCCTTCGACCCGCCTTCGCCATCGTAGCCCTTATTCCCTTCTCTAGACCAGGAATCGACCACCTTGTTCAGCTTCTGAGCTCCTTTTGAGACCTCCAGCAGCTGGAATGAAGATGGATTGTTGGTATTGTTGTTGTAATGTTCCTTATCTCCCCTTCTTTTCCCCATTGCTAATTTTGCCGCCTCAATGGAACCCTTCTTATTTCCCTGCTGTCTATGCCCTGCCATCTTCTTGTTATGCTCTTCCTCCATCTTTTGGAGGACATGCTTGGACTTTCTGATTGTCCCACATTCCACTACCCCTTTGGGATCATCGCAAGTGACAAATGGTCTGTACATTATTCTGCAATCAACAAATAAAAAAGAAGGGGAAAAGCTTCAGTATGCCTTGCAAATGGCTACCTTGAACGAGAAAACAACAGCTAGCTTCCAGCCAAGTGCCAACTACAGAAAATAACAAGAAACCCATGTCCTGTTACCCTTTTGTGTAAAGTGTAAACCTTCTTTCAAACCGAATCCAACTCTCTTTTGTATTTTTCTCCAATTTCCAAAACTGTCAACACTTTCTGGGTTTTAGAAAGAGACCTCAGGGGCGGAAAATTGAATTAAACAAAGAAACCAATTGCAATTGTGTAGAGAATTTTTTTTGCAGGCCTGGGACTGCAGTTGTAAACTAGAATTTCTTGAGACGGCGAAAAGATCACCATCACCGAACCTCAAAGTCTCCAGCTTTCATCAGCCAATGAGATGACAAAACAGGAAACAGGGCAAAAAAGCCAGGTACCCAGATGAAGAAAAGGAAAGGAAAAAGCTTGGGAAAGCTTCAAGAGTCAACAGTCAACGGAATAACAGAGAGGGGAAGAAAAAACAGGGGAGAGTATGAAAGCAAAAAACCCAGAAGTTAAATTCTCACCCAGAGAAAGCGAGTTGCCGAAGGAGGGATTTCAGATCCAAAGGGCGGCCGCCATTGACTGGAGAGCTCGGAAAGGCCGGCGGAGTGATGAGATCAAGCCGAAAGAGATGGTGCTGAGTGTGTGTTAGTTATTTGGAGAATCTCTGAGTTGAGGAAGAAGAATGGTGCGAGTATTTTTTGCTTGTATTTTGTTGATTGTGAGTTCAGTAAAGATCAATAATGGCGGAAGGGAAGGGGGAAAGGGAAGGAAGTGTGATAACTGCTTGCTGAAGCTAAAATGGCGCCTGCTGTTTCTTCCGTTCTGTTTGTGGCAGGCAGAGCAGAGGGAGGAGCGGAATAATAGAAAAATTATAGAAAAAACAGAGCAAAAAAAGAAACTCCCACTTATCGACGTGATAGTTTTCTCCTCTTTTATTTTTTCATTTAATATCCAAAATGTAATGTAACTACTCCTTCATTTGTAACCACTTAGGCAACAAAATACGAAAAAGATCCATGATATATAAGGAAGGGCTTAATTGCAAGTTTGGTCACTCGAATTGCTATAAAATTTCACGTTTGCCACTCAAATTAATTTATTCCATTTATAGTCACTCGAATTAGTTGAACAGTTCAAGTTCAGTCACTCTCCGTTAACCTCCGTTAACTTTGACTGACGTGGCGGTCAACTCTGACAGTTGACCGTTAAATGTGTGACGTGGCTATTAAAAAATAATATAATAATAAATTTTAATTATTTAATCATTACACCTCATTCTTACATACATTAATCTTTAAACGATGAAAAATAAAATAAATTTCTTTTCTTCTTCACGTAATCCGATTTCTTCTTCAGATGGGGAATTGGACAAAAAAATGCAGCGATTCAATTAGATCATCTGCACACAGTCTCTCGGGCACAAACTCAGTTCAGGAAACTCATAGTCCATCAAACCCTCCAGCCTCTCTGCTTTTCGGAGGAACAGAGCATTTCGACAAAGGGATTGGAAGTGAAATGAAGCATTGGACATAGGAAGTCCGGTACGATATGAAATCATCGTCTGGTAATTAAGGCACGAGGTAGATGGGGAGCTCGGGGATCACCTCGTTGATCAGCTTCATGCACCCCTCGAAGTTGGTGTTGATGCTGAGCATGAAGCGCTATTCGCGTTGGGTTGGAAGATGACGGAAGGGTCGGCCCGGCGTTGAACGCGACGTATTTGGAAAAGAAGATGGTGGCCGCGGAGGCAGCGGGCCTCATCGTGGATGTTATCACCGCCGAGATACTAGATTTGACGGAGTTAGAGGAAGGGGCCGGGTCGAGTGTGGAGGAGGTGAAGGTGATTACGGCTGAGAAAAGAAGAAATGACCCCTAATTTTTCGATGAAGATGATAGAACGATTCGTCATGCGGAAAATTGAGTCTCTGTTTTTCAATTAGGGATTTCCAATTCGGGTAACCAGCCCAGCCTCCCTGGGGAACAGATCTAAAATTACGGCAGGCGAATATGAATTTGTTGGTGTTGAACGATAATGGGAATTGGGAACTGTTGATGCGCCGCCGAACTGGAAGCAATTGTCGGATAAGGAAGCGGTGTAGCGGTGGTGTTTGATGTGGGGAAGAAGAAGGGAAAAGGTAAGCAGTTGGTGGCTTTTCCAATTTTGGGCTAACATACAGTGTGGTGTTGGAGAGTGGAGACGAAGACGATCTTAGGTTAGGAGTTTCTTTTTCAATTTGATAATGTTAATTATTATAATTTTGTGTTGTTTGTTTTTGTGATAATAATGTGGAAGAAATTTTTTTTCATTTTTTATAATTATAATTGTTTGTGATAATGATGTGTAATTTCTAAAATTTTAATTTTTAATTATTTTTTATTTGCCACGTCATACATTTAACGGTCAACTGTCAGAGTTGACCGCCACGTCAGCCAAAGTTAACGGAGCTTAACGGAGAGTGACCGAACTTGAACTGTTCAACTAATTCGAGTGACTATAAATGGAATAAATTAATTTGAGTGGCAAACGTAAAATTTTATAGCAATTCGAGTGACCAAACTTGCAATTAAGCCTATAAGGAAGAATTCAATTCGTCTTAATCGATAAGGCACAATTTGGTCCGAAATGTAGTTTCGAACTTAAACGTGCTCAGCATGAAACGAGTACAACGATGAGCGACCCCGCAGGAAGTCATCATGACGCAACTCCGAAGTAAAATCGTATCCGTATGTGATAGGTGCAAAGCGAACAACATCTTAATCATAAAAATGTCGGGATGTTACGCCATTTCTTTTACAAAAAACGTCACTACGTCGATTCGATACTGGCTCGAAACTAGCGAGCAATTCGACAATACAATGTAGCAGCCAACCATGATTGTAAAAAATGACGGTTGAGGAAATCAAAATTGAACGTGGTGATTGATGTGGTGGGATCTGTGCCCCCACTAAAAGGTTTGTCTGTTTCACCTTTTTTTTTTTTTACCATCCCTCCGAATTAAGAAAATGCTTTACAAAAGGGTAAAAAAAAAAATTCTACTTTCACCGTTTTATGTCAAACAAAAGTAAAAATCCTTAGGTGAAAATCATCCTATAGTTGACAAATTGTTTGGCTTCAAATATGATAGTTACGTAACACACCACCCCCACCACCATCAACAACAAACTCTCTGAAGGACAGTAAAAAAAAAAACAATTCAATGAAAATTTTGAAAAAGAAGGGTGAACTAATAACTTCAACATTTGCATTTGATTCATGTCATATTTACGTCCGGCCAAATTCGGCTATGTTGTCGAGCGCCATGGTGCGCGAGCATGATGGTTAACGCTTTCTCGGCCATCCGATTTTGCGATAGATGATTGCAGACTCCACATATAAGATGTCGGAGTAAAATGAATGGTTACGTAGCACATTCGCGTCTTGCCACACCGCAACCATTTGATCCTACAATGAATACGAACGGGCATATACGAAAACATCCAGCAGCCACATCAGATTGTCTTTCGTATTAATTCTCCGGACTAATAATGTTAATCAAATTGACTCCTCACCTGCTGCGATAACCAGTATTTAATTAAAGAATCAATGGTTTTTAATCATGCATGTTTTAAATAATCAAGAATCTTGTCTTGGAGTTTGGAGTTGTTCAGAAACAGTGGCGTAGCAGTCTCATGCTATGTTTGGGCCGGCCGACAGTATTTGGCAAGAAAAATTAAGTACTTGACATAACTTCTGCTTCACTTCGTAATTTCTTTCTTTGTTGTACAAATTAAACAAATGTTCTACCAATCAAACAATATAACTTTGACTTACCATCACTAAACCCGAAAAATCGGTATGATTTTATTAAAATTGTTTTACATATGCTCGAATGAAATGATCGTCGTGTCTTCTAATAATTTCGAAGAGTCTCATGATAGATTTAGTAGAATCTCCCCTACCTTTTATCAATGTTCTTTTGAAAGATGCAATTGGTTCCTATGCTCCTCATTGAATCCAAGTATCCAACTAAGTAATTATATCAAATACCACAGAATCAATGATTTATTGCACCCATTTATTTTTTTTTTAAAATGATTTTCCATTTTGCATGTGCACAGTGAAGCATGTGTTGGAATTTTAGTAGTGTGAATGGAAATGAAGAGAAGGGAGCTAATTTATACCACGTTGAGGAAATGTAGAAGTGAGAGCGAGTATTTAAACTGAGAAGTTCACTAAACCCTAGTAAAAGGAGTAGAAAAAGATGTGTCCTCGCATCGTTGTCATCGCTCCTCTCGGGTTCATTAAATTTGTTGGTACTTGGCCGAATTGATATATGTAATCAGCCACATAATCGAACCAATTAAACAAACAGGTTTGGCTTGTGCCTATTGTGAAACAAATGCCACAAACTGAACGACCCAATTGCTCGGTTTAATTTTCTGCCCGAATCAGTGACATCTTTCCGCATGCACCTCTTCAATTTATATAAATACCATCATTATCCTTATCTTTTTTTACTTTCTAGAAATATTTTCGTGCTCGATATACAATATTTTGTCTTCATCAAATGATAGTAACAAAAAACAAGTATGTGCTAATAAACCATGATTATATTTAATGACCAACGGTTTCCCTATTTTTTTTAGGGTATAAGGCAGAGTCGGCAACCAACTTATCATTGCCGCCGGAGGAGTCAATCATTTGTCCCCATTTTTGGCCTAACTTGAATTTCTCTGGTTTGACCAGAACACTTATGATCGAGTTCTATTGATTTATTAAAAAGCCTTCGCTTTAGCAATTTCTATTAACACTATAGTTAGTAAAATACGATATGGAAAAGTTACGTATAAAATACGCACGGGTATTATATTTCATCTTTAAGTTAAAATTACGTTTAATAGTACGTTAATAGTCATTAATATATAAAATTAATTATTTTAAAAATAATTAATATTAAATTTAACAATTTAATTCATAAAATATGGATAATAAACGTGTTATACGGGTTTTATACGTGTTTAGTACGGGAGCCACCAAATGAACGGAAAAAATAAAACGGCTTGACAATAATACGAATCGGATACGGAAGTTTTAAACGGATAAAGTATGTACTGGTACATATACGTGTATTAAACGAAGTATTTACTAAGTAGCGAGTCTAAAGGGGTTGCGGATTGCGAATTTATGGATATGTTGAAATGAATTTGTGAATTGAATTATCAATTCAAGTGTCAACTAAAGTTTGGATCGTATGAAATTTTTGAAAAGTTCAAGTACTATCAATATCTTAACAAGATTTTAAATACCAAAATGTAAAATTTTAACAATATTTTCATTAAAAAGTCGAAGTAAAATGTAATTTTCAGTAATCCATCATACCATTACATGAATTCACCATATCATTAGATTCAGACTGAATTAGTTAAATATTTAAATGAATGTATTGAATTGGTGAATTGGATTCAAATTGTCAAATTTAATTTCTATTCGATATGAAATTTCATTAATGGTTGGTTTGAATCACACTACTTATGCACAAAAAGTGGGTGCTCCGCATTTTTATGGCATCTTATTTGTATTCTTCGGTTGTGTAGATAAAGAAAATAATGCACATGGAGAAGTTGTTACGAAAAATGATTAAGGGAGGAATCCAATAAGAAGATTAATTAAATTTCTCCAATCTTTGCGTCTCCAATGAAGAAAACAAGTAGTAATATCGAATTGTAGAAGAAAGTTGCTGGAGCGTGGAATTCGTATAAAAACCAAACCCCCGATCTAATCATTTGGATTGTTGACTACCAAAAAAAATCTATTAATGTATAAACGGAAACAATCGCACAAGAAACAAACGACGATAAAACTGGGAATACCGCATACTTTTAATAAACAAAATAATATCTCAACATTAAATCAATTAAAGTTTGGGTAT